GGGGTCCCCAGCGCAATCCTGCAAGAGCAGCAGGTGGAAGACGCCCTGCGACCTCGCGTCCCAATCTGAACTCTCACGGCTGGCAAACCTGGGTCCGGGCAAAGGCCCCCAGCTGGCAGAAGTCTGGGCCCCGCATGCCTGATCCAGTGTGGGCACGGGTGGGGACAGAGCCCCACGGTGGCAGCTCCTGGCCAGCCCCAGGTCCAAGGCCCAGGAGCAGCCCAGTACAGGCTTGGGGAAGGGGACGGGCCGAGAAGGGCCACCCAGCCGGCCAGCAACTGTGGTCTCCGAAGTCCAGACACAGGGCCCTGCCCACCTCGCACCTGGGAGTGTGAAGCAAGTGGACACAGCTGATGGTGCCGGTCTCTCGGGAGACCAGGGTGTCTGGGGGAGGAAGGCGGAAGTGGGAGTGGACGATCCCCACGGTAGCCAGGATGTGCGGCTGTGGGTCAGGGATGCTTCCGTCCTGGGGTAACAGGGCCACAAGCAGTGACCCAGTGTGGCCACAGATATCACCGCAAGTAGCACCCGGGTCAGGGACACCAGACGGGCAGGCTCAAGGCCGCCGGGATCGCGGCCAGCCGTGGTCTCGCCTCCACCCTGGGGACGGTGGCCGTGGCGAGAACCCCGCCCTGGCCGCTGCTCACGCCCTCACGCTATGCCCGCCACCTCTGTTCTGCCCACGGCTCCCCAGGAGAGCCCACAGCCACTGCGACTGGCCCCAGCCAGGCCCCGGAGAGCCTGGGTGAGGAGCCAGCCCGGCGCCGGGCCCCGACACCGGCCGCCGCCTGCCAGGAAGCAAGCTGTCCCCGGCCGCCCCTGCTCACAGGGCCTTAGCCAGTGTGCAGTTACTGGCAGCCCACCCGTCAGGGAGGCAACGGGCCTGGGCACAGGAGTGGGGGGCAGGCGGGAGGCGAGGGAGACCCCAGAGGGGGAGCGAGAATGCCGCGGGGCCCTGCAGGCGTGCGCACTGTCCGCAGGGCCTGTGCAGGGGTGAGGCCCGGGCTCCATGCTGGGGGCCGTGAGCTCCAGCAGCCACACAGAGGACAGCACACAGCGGACAGGGGTGCCACGGGCGGCCGAGGAGGGCGGTCGGGTGCCAAGTCTGCTAATCGCCTAGCAACCGGCCCAGACAGCTGAGCCGTCCCTGGGGCCGGTTCCCAGAGAAACGCTTGGGGCATCCGCCTGCTGCTTAGGGGCCAGCAGGTGCGGGGGGAGGGAGGCGTCCAGATTAAACCAGGGATGGTGCAGGGGGAGCGCGGCCAGACGGTCAGCCAAGTAGGCTGGCTGGCTGCCAGCGCCCCAGGCTTGGTTGATCAGGGCTCGCCCGCCTGGGGCCGCCTGCGGCAGGGAGGTCCAGCCCCGCTGCACGTCCATCACCCTGCTCAGCCACTGCCCGTGCCACCCCCACCCAGTCCCTGTCCTTGTTCTACTGTGCACAGGGTGCCACGGGGTGGCAGGCAGGCCCCAGAGGGAGCAGGAAGACCCCCATCTGGGGAGCCAGGGGGTTCCTCATGGGACCAGGTGAGGGCTCCCAGGACCACACAGGCCGCGGGGCACAGACAGCAGAAGGCTGTGATGGAGGGGAGCCCTGAGGCTGGCCAGGGAGGGTTGCGCCCGGGACCCCAAGGTCAGGAGGCAGCAGGTGGGCGGTGAGGCGTGACGGGACGAGGAGCCCTGTGAGGGACTGGGCATGGCAGCGGAGCTCACTGGCTCACAGCGGCCCCTGGGGCCGGGCACCCACCACCCGCCGGTCACCCACCTGTGTGAGGAGCTTGTCACCCTCCAGCAGCTTCACCTTGGTCTCCAGCTGCCTGACGTAGGTGGACGAGGGATCTGCAAAGATAGGAGGACATCAGTCATCCCAGACACCACAGAGAGCCCCCCACACACCCCTTTTCCCGGAGCCCAGTCGGCTTCCAGGGCCCAGCAGAAGGAGACGAGGGGCCCTCGCACCAGAGCGCGCCCCCAAGGGGACCGAGTCCAGGGAGCACCTCCTGTCCCTGCACAGTGGGGCAAGGAAAGCTCTGCCCGCGCGAGTCAGCACCGTGGCCAACTGCCCGGCACGGGAGCATCTGTACACGATCGTCCGGCTTGGGGGCCAGGGAACCACCTTTCCAACCAGATTCTGGAGGAGCAGAGAGCGAGGGGTGCTGGTCAGTCCCAGGCTCTGATGGGGCCGGGGGCCGACAGCCAAATAGCAACAGGATACCGCAGCGGGGGCCACCAGGCCTCGGCTCAGTCACTGCCAAGACAAAGGCAAGTGGGCAAGGCTCAGCCCCGCCGGGTCCCGCTTGCAGGGGTGCTGGCGACTGGCTCAGCCTGGGGAGCGGGGTGACTAAGTGGCCTCCAGGTGGGCCCGCTGGAGAGGCCCGGGCAGCACAGGCGGGCCAGGGGGTGCAGGCAGGGGGGCCCTCCGGGAGCAGACTGCGGCACCCCAGCCCGGTCTGCAGTGGCTGGAGGGGGCTGCCCCGGGCCTCTGTTCCCATGAGCACCTCACCAGAGCTCCAAAGCTCATCCCCCCCACGCCAAGCCTGTCTGCCCCCCCAAGGACGGTGTCGCCCCAGATACCAGCACCCGCCTCTTCAGCCAAGCCCAGGCCTAATGCTCACACCAGTTCGGGGGCTTAGGGACCCAGGGAACCGGCCCCATGGGTCTCGGCTGGGAAAATGGGGTGCTGCCACAGGACATGCCGACGCTCACACGCCCCAGGAGGGAAAGGGCATCTGTCCACCCCAGCACCAGGCGAGGCCAGCAGGGCACTGGCCTGTGCGTGTGCATCACTGCGTTCCCCAAGCTTGTGGGAAGGACCCTTCGGAGACCAGCCTGGCCAGCGGCCAGTGCTGGACCAGACCCAGGAGCGGTATTCCAGGCCCCAGGCAGGAATGGGGGCGGCCGGGCCCCTCCCTCCCTGCTTAGGGATTACACAACCCTCCCCCCAGCTCCAGTCGGCACCAGTCACCTCTCAGGAATGTAGGCCCTTCCAGAGGAGGGGCAGGGCGGCTCCCTACCAGAACCCCACCCTCGCCCTGCCCTGGGGATGACACCGTGACCAGCCCCCCTGGTCCGCCCCAGCCCTGCCTGCGCTGCCCCGCAACCTGCCCCCACGCCAAGCACCACCCCCACAGCTCAGGGATCAGGTTCCAAGGCTAAGCAGCTCATTCACTGGTTAAACTGCTGGGCAGCAGTGGAGGTGGGCGGTGGGCGGGCCCACCCAGTAGGGGCAGACCCCGGCGGGGAATCCTGGCCAGCTGCTGTGAACAGCCTGGCTCATACCGTCCTCCAGTGGGGTCACTACAGCCCCACGCCTGCGTCCGCTCACCCATCACCCACACTGACGAGCAGTCCCATGTTCCAGCCATGCAAATACGCGGGAACAGCCGCCGTGTTCTGGGTGTGCTGGGCCCTGCTGAGCAGGGTGTGGGAGCTGGGGTGCAGCCAGCGCTCCCCGGCATGTCCAGTGAGCACTGCTTATGGAAGGCTCCCTGGAACACCAACTGGGAACAGCGGGTGAGGACCCTGCCACTTGCTGCCTCCCAAGTTAAGACAAGTTATTACCTGAGCCCTGAGTGGGGGCTGGACACCCCCTTGCGTGACACCTCAGCCCTTGCATCAGGCACCTCGGTGAAGCCTGGCGAGGGCCAAGCAGGCTTCACCCCCACTTCCCGGAGAAGAAGCCACAGGGATGTGGTATCCCCACTGGCTGGGGGTGAGCGGGCTGCGGCGCCCGACTCCCAGCCCTTCTTCCCTTCACCCAGGCCCGCCCTGCATGGGGCACGGAGCCAAGGCCACAGCGCCAGCCACCGTGAAGCCCCGAGAGGCCCTGCCGCCCGCCAAGCCGCAGGGCCACCCAGCCCTCAGCGCGGAGCCAGCCTGCTCCCGCTCCCCAAGCCCCGCCCGCCGGCGTCCTGGCACGGGGCGGTCCTGTGCCCCGCTGCCAGCCCTCTGGGTGAGCCACGGGCTCTGGGTTCCCCTGCTGGCGAGCGCGTGGGCACAGCCGGGCCCACACCCCCTCCCGGGATGGCAGTGAGGAGAGAGAGCGGGGACAGAGCCAGTCCAGAAGGGGCCCAGGCCGCCAGGCACCCCCAGCACCCCACCCGCCGCCTGGCAGGCCAGTCGCCGCCCCTCACGGCACACGTGGGCACAGCCAGGGCCCACACCCCCTCCCGGGATGGCAGTGAGGAGAGAGAGCGGGGACAGAGCCAGTCCAGAAGGGGCCCAGGCCGCCAGGCACCCCCAGCACCCCACCCGCCGCCTGGCAGGCCAGTCGCCACCCCTCACGGCACACGTGGGCACAGCCAGGGCACGGCCACAGCACCGCCCAGGGCGCCGCCGCTTGGCCCATCTGCTCGTGTCTGCTCGGGCGCGTGGCCGCCTCCAGCGTGAGCCCGGTTTTCCTTTCAGTTTGCAAAGGGCAACACGAGGTCCGAGAATATTCACAGGCCGCAGCCCCAGCCCAGCCCCTCGAAGGTTCTGATTAGGACGGTGCTGGCCGCGCTCGCCCCCCACGGCCAGGGCGCACCGGCTGCCATCCGGCTGGTCTGCGCGCTTCCACCACGGGCAGGAAAGGCCTCGCGCCCGTCAGCACCCGCGAGCCCTAGGGTGTAAAACACCCTGCCTGGAGTCGCCCCGTGAGGGGGGCGCTCAGAGGCGGGGCGAGCTGGCCTCTGCTCGCATCTCCCGAGCTGTCTAGAACACCCTCAGCTTGCACAGCCACCGATGCCAGGGAAGTCTGAAGTCCGACGGAGGTGGCGGGGGCCGGGCACCCCCTCCCGCTCCACCCAGGCGGCACCCTGGGCACCTTGCTCTCGGCAGACCCGGGCCCCAGGCTGTCCACTCCTGCTGCCTCCTGGATGCCCTGACCAGCCGCCCTGCCCCGCAGGACCCCGCAGGACCCCGCCGGACCCCTCGCTGCGAGGCACCAGGCAGCGTGCTCCGGCCCCCCAGGTAGGAGCAGGCGCCCTGCAGGGGGCGTGTGAGCAGGCGCCCAGGAGCAGGTTCCAGAAGGATCCCAGAGCCTCGGGCACCTCGTGATCCCAGCGGCACCAGGAGCCGCAGCCTCCTGGAGATGAGCACGCAATTAAATTAACCCCGGTTTGCAGGAATGAGGAGCCACGGGGGAGGGACACGCAGGCCACGTCATTTCCTGGCTTGGCTGCTGGTAGGCAAACGGGGGACGTGGCTACGTTAGGGCTGGGGCCAGCTGCTCCCTCGGCCCTTTCCGGACCACCCCCAGAGCTCATTGCCAAATCTGGGGGTGTCACGTCAGTTTTCACGGGGGGCCACCCTCGCTTCTCCCCTCCTCTTGGATCCTCTGTCCCTGGGGACCGTGAGGACCTGGGTGACCCAAGGGAGTGCAGGGGCCATGCCAGCCCCTCCCCACTGGCTCTGGGGTGCCAGGGGTGCCTGACGACCCGTGTCCCCTGGCACCCACTTCTCGCAGGCTGAGGGTCGGGGGCCTATCACCAGAAGTGAGGCTTCTTCCCGCCCCACTTTCAGTCCCAACTGCAAGAATCTGGGGGCCAGAGGCCACATCAGCCGTCCCCTCCTCACTGAGCTCAGCTCTCAGGACAAAGAAAGGTCTAGAGGAGCCCACTTCAGCCTCAGCCCAGCCCCTGACGGAGCCCAGTCTGTGTCGCACCCACGACCCCTGGGAGGCCCCCAAGAAGGAGGTGCCAGGCCACAAGAGCAGAGCATCCTGGAAGCGAGAGCAAGTCCCGAGACCCCACTCGGGTGGACACAACGTCCCCGCCTGGCACCCGCTGGCTGCGGGTTTCAGTTCTGTGCAGTGACCGGAAGCACAGCCGGCAATGGAGGCGGGCGGGAAGGAGCTGTGAAGGGGTGTCACCCACCAGGGATCTGGGGGCCTCAGAGACCCACCTGCCCATGGGCTCACTGGCGCGGGGCTCCCCTGTGGGGCGGGTGTCAATGCCCCACCCCTGCCCCTGGAGAGTGAAAGGGGGAGCGGCAGTGGGCAGGCGGTGGGCAGGCAGTGGGCAGGCAGTGAGCAGGAGATCTGGCCGGTGCCGGCCACGTTGGCCACACCTGGGACAGCGCAGCTTCCGGCTCCGCACGGGTGTGCGTGGGGCTGAGGGGGCCCCAGGCCCGATCCCCTGCCCCTGCTGGGCAGGGTCTAGGTCACTGCTCTAGGCTGGTCATTAGCAGGAGGCCCAGCCAGAAGCCCGGGGCCCCTCCCCAGGGCTCACGCCCACCCAGCTCCCGGGCCTTGCTGGAGGCAGCTGACATCTCCACACCGCTGCTCAGCTGATTAAATTCCCTTCTCCTTCCACTTCATCAAGAGGGTGTGGGCTGAGGCATCAGCTGCGTCATTCCAGGCCTCCCTCCTCTGCCCTGGAGGATGGAGGGGCTCTCAGCAATCTCCCAGTGGGTTCCTCAGCCCCTCTCCTTTCTCCCCATCCCAGGACACTCCAGCAGGGACAGGCAAGTGCCCAAAACCTTGGTTCGTGCACTGCAGCAGGGAAGCTGGAGTGGCCCCCACACTCGTGTGGCACCTCAGTCCCCATGGGCCCCCCCGTGAAGCTGTCACCCTGACACTAGTGAGCCCCCCTCTGACCCTCTCCCACAGGGGAGGTGTCACCATGCTCCAGAGCACAGAGGCTGGACAGCAAAGTGTCACCTGTAGCAACAGCCAGACCTACAGGTCAGTACTAGGCTATCTAAGCACAATGCCTTTCTCTGGGGCTCTTCGGCCCAACGACTAGGGGGGCTGCAGGAATAACCATGTATGCTTGAAGGGCAAAGGCAGTGAAAGGGTGCAGCCTAGGGGTGAGGGGTGCAGAGAGCAAGGATGTACTGACCAGGAGAAATCAGGGCGC